TGTTCGCCTGCTGTGCGACACCCACTCTGCCTGTTGAGGTTCTGTTTGATGGTCCTGTTTGTTCTTCACGGTGTACAATCTGCATATCGAGCCGTGTGCTGGGGACGCTGTTGCTGGAGCAGGAAGCTAATGTTCGCTGATACTGATCAGCTTCAGCCTCTGTGTGTCACAGACCATATTAACTACATCAGGTGTATAACTGAATGACTCAATGTCTCTATTATCATTACTGTTAAATGTGAAGTTTGTATTCCTTACTATAAACATTAAACTCTAAATCTGTATGTCTGTCAGATAGAAAGACCGCTGTGCAGTTCTGCTAGTCATTTTAATCTGCTGAACTTGTTGTCCTGTCATCTTTCACAGATCCTTGCAGAGCTGCAGCTACACATTCAACTGCAAATCTGTCAGTATCTGTGGGAGAGAAGGTTCACTTATTCTGCAATGATTCAATTTCAAATTTAACCCAGATTAGCTGGAGGAAGAACCATACAATGTTATTTACTTACAGTAAAAATAACCAAACACCGAATAACTGCCTCTCGGACAGAGTATGTATTGATTTAAATGAACTTAGAGATCTGCGGATCTCTTCCGTACAGATGTCTGATGAGGGAATCTACAGCTGCACAGTCGCCACTGACAGGGGTACATACGTAAAAGAGTGGAGAATAAGCGTTAATGGTAACTACATTCTGTATTTACCCTGTTCATGATTAGGCATAATTACTGAATGTATTACTTAACAGGAAACATAAAGTTATAACTTCACACTGGTATTTTCTTGTGCCTAGAATCTGCTAATATCTAAGCATATATTTACATGTAATATGTTGTTCCTTCTTTATGTTCAGACACAGAAAATGCTTCTCACGCTCAGGTGACAAATATTATTGCGTATGTCGCCCCTGCCGCGGCCGGAGTTACAGTGATTGTAGGAATTTGCTGCGCTGTCATATGCTACAGGTCAGTCAATATTACACGACAGTAATTATCTTTAACTAAGCGAAATATTTCACTGGCATATTAATTAAAAAGTAAGTAAACTAACTGCCAGAACAGAACATTTTATAGCTGTAGCCTTACAAAGTTTACCGAGACCCCGAACCCTTTACTTTTTGTTATTCAGAGTTTTGAAGAATAAACCGAACCGAAGTTGCCCAGACACCGAAAACACAGAAGGGACGGTAAGTCATTGCATACTTTCCATAGCAATAATGGACAATTACGCCGATTAGATTTATACCAGCGATGGGTACTGATGTGATAATACACGGTTCGCTTCATTCTGGTTTGTTTCAAATGGAAGCAATTCTTATCGATTATAATGAAGAAATTTTGTTTAAAATGAGAGGTCGTCGATGTTACGGTTTAAAAAATAGCTTTTTTCACTCTTAATAATTCAATGGTGAGACGCGGTTACACCGTAAGCCATGGTGCTGTCACTGGGGGCTTTATTGCTTTTTACTGCGCTTTATTCCTACTGCACAGGACACCGGATGCCGAAGAGCTCATGGAGTCACCGGCCATCAGTATATTGAGAGAATAAACTCAGTGTACGGGACTTAAAACACAAAACCGTGCCTAACACCTCATTTTATTTTCAAAAAATTAATCGGTTGTTATTTTTTAATGTCACAAAATAGTCTGCAATGTTTGAATGTTGTGGAGTCTCCCAGTAAATGAATACTGAGGTGTATATAATCACGGGAACGCTATCATATCTGCCCAGCTAACAGGTCCCCAGAACTTTAGCCAACATATTTAAAGCTCTTCTCAAAGCTGGCAGAGAAAGTTCTTTCTGGGCTGGAACGTAATTTCCACATGTTGCATTTTAACAAAGGTTCTGTCAATATTAGTATGATAACATTATTACCCGAATAATTACCTGTTGTTAAATTACCCGAACCTTTTAAAAATAATGTTGTAAAATAGTTTTATAATAAAACTGTTATTTTATAAAAGTGCAATATATGTATATTGTAAATGTACAAACCGGCCTTGACCCCATGACCTTACAGGTGCGCAGCCACAGTGCTGCCTGCTGCTCTTCTAGGCCTGTCGTTCTTTTATGTTATTAGTTCTAGTTGTAGTGGTGGGATAAGGTTCTGGGAACATTCGCAAAACTGGGCACTTTGAACGTTTCCATACTTTAATCGTGATGTTCGGCAAAGGTTCCTAGAAGAAAAATTGTTAGCTGGGTAGTAGCCGTGGTCGAATTTAAAATAGTGACATTTAACGAAGACTGGACTACCTCCTGCCCAAATGTGATGTTTGGCATGAACGCCAATGTTTTTCCGTTAAAGCTACTGCATGTTGATGTCTTTGTTTTCTAATAAAAATATTTCGCATACTAATCGTCTTGTTTCCAGTCCAAACAAGGCTCAGTGTGCGCCTGGTGGTTTGCGGAAGAACCGCTACAATTCAGGGTGTCCGCGTTAGGAAGCTGCGTTGGTAACGCAGTTGATCATTACGTCATTGTTTCGCATTTTCCACGGTGCGTCTTGTGACGCAGAGCCGTCTGGTTACGTGAAGTATTGCTTACGGTATGTCGCCTTATTACAGAGACGTGGTCGCCTTGGCAGGGTTGATTCTGACACTGCTGCAAACCTGTACTCTTATGCAGCTCCTCTTTCACCCAACTGTCATGTTTTGCAGTGTTTACATATTAAATTATCGTTCTTAAAAGGCAGCACTGTTTGAGTTTCCCTCATTTCAAGTGGTCTTTTTTATCATACCCCCCATATGCAGGTGTATATTGGTACGGAATAATGTTCCCTCAAGGCCACGGTGTGACGTACATATAGCAAGAAACAAGGGGAGGGTTTCACAGTAATAAATAGTTAATTGCAAGTAGCTACTTTTACCTACATCTGGTCACCAAATTCATGTTGATGGATAATGTAGGCAGCCACAGGCAGTTATTTATACAGAATTTAGAACAAAATCAGTGTGTGCCGATGGAAAGTCTCTCAAACCGTAAACACCACTGTAATTTAAAATAAAAGGAAGGGGTAGGGGGGGGGATGACCAGTGCCATTAAATGTAATTGAAAATGTCTTCCATACTTGTACTGGTGCCTCGCAAGAGAGGCAGGAAGTATAATGAATGTAAGGCATAGGGTTTCCAAACTTTCCAGGCCTCGACAGCAGACTTTTCGGGGGGAATTTGATGAAATTCACAGACTGTGGGGAGAGCGGTGTATTCCTCAGTACATTTCAGTGATGGTAGGTTTATTGCTATCGACCGGCAGAAATGTGTTCACATTTGCATAGAAATCCTTGTGTAGAAAAAACAGCAGCTGAATCTTTTATTGGTACTTTTAAAGTTAATAGCAAATTCACAACATAGTCTTTAATCTAGCTTGGTCAAAGACAACCTCTCACACACATTCACGCTTGCATGCTTTATCAGCCGCACAGGATTATGGGAAGAGCACTGCTGTGTATGTTCACCCAATCGGAAAGCACTGTGTGTTACAAGACACATTATGGTGGAACCATGGCTTTCCATCACTTACAGTATATTGAAGTTCTCTTTTTACATCTCCTTCAACTTGCTCTTTGTAGAGTAAGTTGTCCACAAAGGGCAGCCACCTGTTGGAAGCTGGGGATTAAGGGCCTTGCTTAAAGACCCGCAAACATGCGGACATGGTGACCTTCTGATTACAGACACACAGGCTTAGCCCACTGAGCTACACGCCGCCCAGAGACAGCAGAGAAATCTACTCAGATGATCAAATGGACCGAATTGCCACCCATTGACTGGATATACTACTGCTCTTTCAACAAAGCAGGAGGTATACAACGGGTATACCTCACAAGCTGATCTCACCAGGAGTCTCCTATGAAGTTTCACAGCATCATAATGTTCATTACCCGGCACAACAACAATTTTTACCCCCAGTCACTGACATCATCAAATGGCTACATCTGCATTAGTGCAATATTACTTGCACCTCCAAGTAATGTTTAAGTGTTACCTGATTTCGCTGCCCTACTTAGATAAAAACAGTAAGTACGCTGACGCTGCAACTCAGAAAAGAGGCTTCAAAGTCCAACGACACCACCAGAGGGCATTAGAGCACAGCTACATAGTACCTCACAGAGCCCATACACTACGGTTCGATTCTCCCGTGCACAGCCTACCGCGGCATTTTTAAATCCTTGAAACAAAATTAGCCGGGACCCCCCTCCCCCCTTCCTCCTCCAGATTTCAAAATGGTGTAGAGGTTAAATGCATTCAGAGGTCGCCCTGTGATCGCCCCATGACGAAATTGAAGATAGTAGATAAGAAAATGTAAAAAATTCACGTAACTAGGTGTTCGGGGCACATCTGCAGGGTGTCCAGCATTGTTTGTACCTGTGTGTTTACAATAAAGACTGACAGCTGAAGAATCACACAAGCGACTCCTCACTCCTGATTGATGTTGAAGGGAAAACCATAACAGAGATACTGGGATCGGGATCAGAGAAGAGACCCGAGGAGGCAAGTGCTTGGTGGAGAAACCCGTCTACATAAGGAGGGCACCCAAGTATAGGCAAGAAAAGCTTTTTTAATGCTTAAAAAAATAGGGAAATAGAAGAGATAGGGGTGTCTCGGGGGAAACCGCCCAGTAAAACCTTCCGGTAAGGAGTACTCGCCTACGGGAAGGTGAAAACCACTCGGTGTGCATGAGTGAGGGTCACGACGTAAAGAGCTAGAGATGCCACTCTGGGAGTATAGGCCTCAGGCCTGCTTGGTCCAGCTGCTGACTCAGAGATACCGCTCTGGGCAGCCTCAGGGGCCTGCTTCGTCTAGCTGATAGTGTGAATGTGGAGTGAAGAGGAAGTGGAGATATTAACAGAAGAAGAAGAACATCTAAATTAATAGGTCATTTAGGTGTTAAAAGACATAAGTAGCAGTAGAAATTCCAGTGGAAAGGAAGTTTTAGTCGTCTACAAAAGTAGCCAATTGAAGTAGAAACTTCCCTTCGGCACTTCGGGTTCACATAGGTCATTTCAGGAGGGATCTCTGTGAGGGAGAAGGTAAACAGCCATCTTAACCCAAAAAGCCAAAAACAAGAGAGAATCAAGCCAAATAAATTAAGCTATCTGTGTATCTCTGTTGTGACTGATAAACTGCGCTACACCTAATGCCCACATACCATGGCTGGAAGGATGTTTAGCTTCGAGTGATAATACTGCCACCTAGTGGTAACTGAGGTACTAATGCCGACATACCATAGCTGGGGAGATGCTGAGTTTAGCTACATCTGATAATACTGCCTAGTGGTGGTGGAGGTACTGCACATGTGGTATCCCTCAGGTCATTCCAGCTCAGCATTTAATCAACCTGTCAGGCCCATGTATTGACAGAGAGGTCTGAGTGCTTCTGTAACAGACGACTGCTGGGCAGGGGGCCGTGTCAACTACGCAGTGACAGTGCCAGCCCCCTTCATGCCTCGAGGTCATTGTGGTGGAGTTTGGGGTAGCTGGGGATGGCTGGCCCCTCAGGTGGGGGCAATGTGATGCTGTGAGGCTGGTTGCCGGTTGGGAAAAGCCTCTGTACCCAGCATGCTTTGTGGTTCTAGGCAGAACAAAAGACCTGTTGTTAAATTCATTGATTACTTATGTGTTACAGTGGTGTGTGCCTGATTTAAAATGTCCACCCTGAACATGAGTACTGATAAAACTGCTGACTACGATGACTGTGACATCAAGTTGCCAACAAGAGCTTCTTTAATGCAGATATCCCATGTTAAGTGAAGCCTTGTCATTTAATCCATCATGACCCATCGCCACAGGTGAAGCATGCAGTGAAGCAAATGGAAATAGTGGTATTTTATAGAGGAAAATAGTGCTTTTAATGGTCTGAAAAAAGGCAAAGGAGAATTCATACATCTGGCTTCGGTCACAGGCTGAGCCTCTGACACAGAGTCAGTGCTGCTTTTGTGGGACACTTTTCACAGGAGGCAATGAGCCACATGAGATGATAGGAAAGGCACCAGTGTCCCTGCTCGCCCAGCCGCAAACGGTATTATGATGTTATGCAGATGGAAACATTTAAACAGTGCAAATGTTGCATTGTTGTACAATTACAAGCAGAGGGAATTGTTGATGCACACTGGTGTACATCTTAGCTCAGTCCCATACGGTATTACTATATGTTATGTGGAACCACATCTTAGCCATAAAGAGTTATGAGATCCACTCAGAAGATCAAAGAGCCCGGACTGCAATACATTGACCGGATATGGATCGATTGGTCCTTTATCAAAGCAGAAGGTATATTATGGGACCAAATCCATCCCAGCTATGAGCTGTTCTCTTCAGTGGAGTCTGGTAGGAGGTTTCATAGTATCACGAAGTTTATTGCCAGGTTCAAGAACAGATTCCACCCCCAGGCACCCACACCATCAAGTCACTATATCAGGATTAGTGCAGTAATACATGCACTTGTGTCCTGACCCCGATCGTCCGCTCCTCCTGTGTGCGACGCCCCCTTGTTAACCCCCCCGTGTGGATTCCCCGTGTTATCAGCTGTTTCTGGTTGTCATTAGTCCGATGTATTTAAGTCTGCGTTAGGTATGTTTTCCCCAGTCCAGTCATTGAAGTCTTACGTTAGTCTTGTGCTTTGCCTTGCGTCTTCCTATAATAAATCCCTCATGCCCCGCTTCCTCACCTCCCTGCTCCTGCTTCCCCGGTCGGTGTGCATGACAACTTGCTCTTCATGTGAATTGTAATGTCTATGACTGCACTAGTCACTGCATTATAGCTGAGGTACAGTATATTCTGTCAGTTATTTTATTGTTAATTGTTCTGAGGGCGGCCAAGCAAGGTCCAATGCACTTGCTGCACACGACCAGCAATAAATCAACAACAAAACCACCTTTTAAAAAAATACTGAGTACTTTAGTTATTGTTAGTTGTTCTGAGTGCAGTCGAGTGGATTCCAGTGCACTTGCTGCACACGACCAGCAATACATCAAAAGAGAATACTTTTTTTAAAATACTGGTTAGTATAAAACTATTTATATATTAAAAAAGAGAAGCCGGTCAAGACCAGTTTCTGTTCTGTACCCTGAAAGTAAGTCAGGGTCTGTGTGTCTCCACTGTGCAGCCACTTCCTCCCCCCATACAGAACTGCCAGCAGCAGAGTCTG